AGATTACAGAGGCCACAGAAGCACAATAAATAATTAATTATTCAACATGAAATACATATCTAAATTACCAAATAGTGATTTCCACATGAAAACATGAGAAAGAGACATCAAATTGAAACCGCAAAAAGTTTACCAAATGACATACACGAGTTAGGCCATATTGAGAACAGAAATATCAAAACACAACAGTGTCGAGCATTGTCCCTAACGTCTGAACGATGTTTGAGGACATCAAGTTCGAGACGTGTTCTTCAAGATGTTTCTTGGCGTCTTGTCTTCCCACATTAGCAATCGCGAGTTTTTCGGGTGGCAGCTCATCCTCCTCCTGGACTGCTTTATTATACTTAACAGCTAGGTTTAGCATCTCCTGCACATTTTCGTGACCAACAATAAATAAAACATGAGTTGAATTAGGTCAGAAACATTTATTATATACAAAGCCAAACACTGAAAGCCTCAAACATTAAATAGCACTATCAATTCCCGGACACAGAACAAGAAACGAGCATGCTAATAATTCACGGCCAAGTAACTGAGTAAAATAAAGCCACGAAACTATTGCCGCAGTTAGTTTCAGAAGGACATGATAAGGTAAGCCTGAAACATATGAGGACTACAAATCTATGTTCTCCATTAGGCTTATCTAAGGTTGAGCATGGGACTCGGAGAGTTCCGAACCGTTCCGAAAACCGAACCGAAATCACTCCGAACTGAAAAATAACCGTTGACCGTTTGACTATCTCCGAACCGAAAATATAATTGGTATGGTTCTAGAAAATTTCACAACTATCCGTACCGAGAACAGAACCAAACCGTCTCATACCGTACCGAATAGAAGAACCGAATTATAAATTTAGATGTGTGTTATTATTATATTTTATGTCAACTTTGATCCTATATAATTTGAAAATTTTTAAAATGCAAATAAAATATAAAATAATTAAGCTTAACGTAAATTTCATGTTTAGTAATTCTTGATCTACAATTAATTTTTCCTGTTTAAAAAAATATTTTAAAAAAAAAATATTTAAAACTTTATTTAAATTTGTCGATACTTAGTCTTATTCTCATGGGAGAAACTACATGTTGATCTGGGGGGCACTCAAATTTTATTTTTTTTTACTAGCATCTCAAAGTTTAGGCAATTCAAACCTACAAGAAATTTTAAACCCAAGTCAGCAAATATACACCACAGAAATACAGACAAAAGAGCAGTCGTCAAGAAGAGGATAGCCTACCAGCATTAGATGAACCTACAGTGATGTGAAAAAACATACTAAGATCCTCTTATGTTACCTGGACGGTCTGCTCATTTGTCTTGGAGTGTGTGTCAAACCTCTGGAGGGTCAAACCATCAGTCCATTTTTTCTTGTGAAGGTTCAGAAGCATCTTCTCCTCCAGCTCATTCTTCCTGTAGTTTATGGCTATGGAATAATAATGCCTGTTTAAACCATGAATTAGGGCCTGCCAAAAAAATATCAGCTCCAAGAAATTAGAAAGATATAGCATAAATAAGAAAATTAAGAGCAACAACTAAATTAAATTTATGTCGCTACTTGGATAGATGGCTTATTGAGATGTCCCAAATTGGAAGTTGTCTGCCGTGGCTCTTGACCAAGCATCATGGTCTGAGGGTTAATGAGGCGGAAGGCATCTATTACCACTTTCCCTTTCACACTCTGAATGGGGTCCACAACCACAGCCACTGCTCTCTGATTCAAAGCTTCAAAACTCTGCATCACAAGACATCAAGACCAAAAAGGTACGTAATCAAGAAGCAAATACCAACAGGAAAAAGATGAAGAGAAAGAATTTCATGAATACACCCAAAAAACGACAGTCATTCAAGTAGATTCGCAAAATTTCTCTAAATTTAACTATTCGTGTCTTTCTGCTTTGTCTGGAAATAGCATTTCAAGACTAATTAGCAATTTAATAGTAACAACTCAACAGGAATGTAAAAATATATAATGATGCCAATAAAAATATAGTATTATAAGGAAAACAGACTATATCGATAAATCCAAGACTTCTCCACCCATTGGAAAATAAAATATACAAATACATAAAAGTACATGTGTAAAATGAGTGCTTACTCTAATATAAATTATAATATAACCAGATTCTTATACACCAAAAGCCAATGAACAATATTTCAACTACATGGAAATAAATAGGGAGAGTGACAAACCTGCTGAGTGTTGATGTCTACACCTGACAGCCAGCATCCAAATCCTGGATGTGAATGGTACCAACCAACTACCATCTCAGGCCTGCACAGAAATAGAGCTTTCTAACTTGATTGATCAAGAAATGAATCCTATGAAAACATCTGCATTAATAACTAAGAGAGCCATATGCAAATCCTTCCATTAGAGCATCCACAATGCTTTGGGTTCATTCAAAAAATTACATGCCACGAAAGAAATAGACAGTCTAGAAAAATACATTCTCCAATGCAACTTGCAAGTGAACTGGGTCCTAGGTCCTGCTCATGCTCATGTGGCAGCAAGTAAAAGTGACTCGGTCTACCTTTAAGTCTACTTTAGACCTAAGTAGAAACCCGATCTCTTTGCATTGGAGTGAATTGTGTTACTTTTATATAGTTATATCCATGTCATTTAAGACTTGGGTGTATTTACACGCCATGTAAGAAAAATTATACCCAAGACATTGAAGATGCTCTAAGAGTCAGAAGAGACAATTTCAGAATTTCAGACCAGTGGACAACGCTATCGCCCATTTTTCGAGCTTAGGAGAATCACAAGGTCAATTGTTCAGTTCACAAACTTGAAACGATTGAATGAGCAAAAAGTAGGAGGTTTAGTTGTCCTAATTGGTGGTTCTGATACGAAGACTCTCTCTCNGAATATGACCATATAATACTACTATGAAATGGTTTTTCCAGTAGTACTCCTAATGCATAATGAGAAAAAAACAAAAAAAAAAAATATGTTCCCCACCTAATTTCACAAAAGGAAAGCATAGTTCGTAATTGACATATCCACTGAAACTTATGAATTACAATTGAGGACCGAACAAATTCTCTTGGCTAGCTTGTGGATTCATATTATCAACTTCAACAAAATAATAACTAGGTGACTAAGTCCATATCAGATTTTGTTCTTACCAATTACAAGCATTGAGTCATATCATTCTTTTCCATGACCTGGGTACTAAGCTATATTCATATAGATCTAAGGCACCCAATCCCCTTCAATTTGCACGAAGTAAAGCCCACCACAATACTCTAAATGCCTAAAGTACACGTCTTTACAGAATCTAAAGGGATCAACATTGCATTTCAAAGAAAGTGGACAAGAAAAGGTTCAAAGAACATAATTTGAAAATACCTGCCCGTCTGCTTGAGCATGTCGAGCATATTAGTCTGGAAAACGTGATCTACTGCCTCAACGCTGACCCCAGTCCCGCTCTGTGGCATAGCGAAAACGTCCACCACACGAACCGTGTACTCGTCCACAAACTCCCCCAGCATCAGACCCATAACTTCCATCGGCACCCCCGCTCTACCTGTAAATAATCGTTGATATACCGGTAAAAAAACCCTAAGTCCAACAATCAAGTAGGATCTGTGAAATTGACAGTATAAAATTTGGCTCCGTAATTAAGAAAAAAAAAGGCAAATTGGCGGAAAGAACGCAGATTTACCGTGTTTCAGCATCTTGAGAAGAGCAAGTGATGAGATGTACACTTGTTCGGATGAATCAAGGGTTGGTGAGTCCGGCGGAGGATGGCCGAGGGCACCGCCGGCGCCGGCGAACATCCGGTGCAATCTTTCCATTCCAGACATTTCGTATAAGTTTTTGATTTTTTTTCTTGCGGATTTCTCTTTGTAGCTTTTCTTATTCGGACCAGTTTTCTTTGGAAACACGACAGTAGGGTTTGGTTTCGATGGCAAGGGCAAAGAGCGGGTGGATAATGATAATAAGATATTTTGCAAGGACGTCCTTGTAATTTTCGGCTAACTTGTAGTTTGGCGTCTATCTGTTACCTATGGATGAGTAAAATCGGACCCAACAGTCCAATTTGGTGTTTTTGTGTTTTTTTTTTTTCAACGACAATTATATTGATAACTTAAAAATTTAAGCAAGTACAGCTGAGATGTCAAGTGAGACCACAGGAACTATAACGAAGTCTCGACAACTCCCTTTTAATTACACACAATGAGGTACAAATTCCATCAAGGAGACGAACAACCACAAAACAAAACTGCAAAAATAGACACTAAATTTATATAGAATACTAAAACTAGTCACCGTTGGACTAAACAAAAAAAAAGACAAACAACAACATACACTTACAATTAAAATAAGACATCCCCTAAACCTAGTGGACAAACAGAACCTAAAATCGAATCACACACCACAGCGCAGAAACCTAAACAAAGCATTAAACCTAGACCCCAGACCAAAAAACTGTAGCCAAAATCGAACCGTCGAGACAGATTTGGCAGGGAGTCAAGTCTCAGTCCTAATATGAGCTCCGAATGACTTTAACACCTGGGGAGGGAGGACTTGGCCATCTTACCTTTCAGAGGTAGTTATCATCTAGTGGATCGGTTTGTCCTCTAGATACCAACCTTTGAATGCTCCTAAGGTTGATGTGCCCAAGTCTAAGGTGCCAGAGATATGTTTGATTCAACTGCGAAGGTTCCTTCCTCTTATTAGATTTAGTCATTACATTATTCAGTTCTGATTGTTGCATTGTGGGATAGTTTGGTTAAAGAACATACAATTTGCTTACTAATGATCAAGAACAGATGAAACAATTCCCGTAATAAATAAAAACCTTGTCATTAAATGAAACAGAAAAACCATCCATAAAAAATTTAGAAACTCAAATAAGATTCTTTCTAAAACTCAGAACATAAAGGCAATGTCTCAAACCAAACTAAAAGGTAAAGTAATGTCTCCCACTGCAACAACTGCTACTGCCATAGCGTTGCCCATGTAGACAGTGATCTCTCCTCCCAAACTAAAAGTTAATTAATTTATTATTATTTCATCGAAGCTAATGCTCGTTCATCACATTCTTATTATGCCTGAACTTAATCCACCTGCAGGGTTTAGCATAACAATTTCATGAACTCACTCCGGGGACATCATCAAACTAATGCACATGGTGACCGTAAATATCCTAACAGCACATACTATATATAATAATATTATCCGAAACAGTACGAATATTAATCCAGCGAACTGAACCTCACCCAAGTGAATCAAAGTAATATTTACCACATATATATGCCTATTTAATATCTTAGTAATTAACCAAGGCCTAGTTCGTTTACGACGATCAGTATAAAACGAACTTCTCCTCTCTGGGATCTTGTTCAATACATAAATGTACTAGTGCAACTAATCAGTTAAGACAAACTGTACAGTTGACACTACAACCGTTCGGATGGGGTGTTCATGTCCATCTAGGTTGTGAACCGCTATTATTGTTTCGCAAGTAACTGATAGAATGATCTTCGGTTCGCCCAATGACAACCCACTCTATCTAAGTGCAAGACAATAGAACATAGAACTTGTTTAATCTAAAATTATTCTCATTCATAAAGGGCAAAAGTGTAATAACATACAAACACAAGCTTTCAGTATATAAAACTAACATATTTTTGGCTATTTTTCTACTAAATCTTAAACAATTTTTCCCAGCATGAATTTAAAGGAATTCGAGGCTTGGATTTTAACCTTTTACTGGGAAAACAAGAAAGGTCTTGGGTGAATAACTAGGCGCTGGACAAGAGGGCTCCGAAAACTGGTTTCTCGGACTAGGTTTTCAGTCGCTGAATGAAACCCGCTCGCTTTCGGTCAAATGGAAAATTGCCTTAGCCGCGAATAGCGCTCTGCTCTCGATCGTCCGGTGTGCTCGGTACTCCTTAGTCGTCGGACTGGTGCTTCAGCCGTCGGATTTTGTTCCGTTGCCGAGGGAAAATTTTGAAGAATTTTTAGAGTAGTTTGAGGGAGATGAGGAGATATTTTTTCGTGAGAAATGAGGAAATAAAAATGGACTCTTTCCTTGGTTGAGGGGTTTTAAAAATTAAGGAGAGGTTACAAAACTAAAAGGCCCAAGATCTTGGGAATGAAGGGTTGATTTCTTGGATGCACTTGAGTGAAACGGCTAGGGAATTAAAAGGGGTGGCTTCTTATAAAAAATGGTCGAGATCCTTGGGGATTATGGGCGTGAATCATGAGAAATTTTTGTGAAACGGCTAGCAGTTTCTTGGCCGAGCTCTCGTCTTCTTCTTAGATAAGTCTTTATTTTCCTTATCTCTTCTTAATTATTTACTTGAATTTGAGAAGCCAATTAGAATTAGGGTTAATAGTGTTTATAGTTTATGATCCATTTTCTATAATTAATTAAAGAATTAATCAAGCTTAATTAAATAAAGTCGAGCTATGCTTTTACTAAAAGAACGGGGCACTACAGTTGTACTGGATCTTTTTTTCATTGAGCTAATTCCTCATGAATGTGTAGCAATCCACGCTCAACCACGGTCACCGTCTCATCAAACTCTAACTCATGCCTTGCATTTTGCTCGATCGTCTCAAGAGAAGGGATATTAAGGCCTAATACATACTTCAATGCATCTTTGCTCAGTACCCATTTCATATTGGAAGACATAAGACACAGTTCAGCTTCTATCAACACAAGAGCGGGAAGAAAGACACGTTTTTTTGCTCCAGTAGGTCGAGTATGGGAAACCCCCATACTTGGTTGTTTCGGCTTCGTTTTCTCTACATCCGTAATTTTTTCGTTCTACAGCTCGTACGTGCAGCCGATATGCTCGATCTCATTGGACTCTTTTCTAGCCGATACGCTAGTCAGTCCATTAGTTCGGCCAATTGGTCAATTTGGCCTTGTAAATTCTCTATGCACACATTCGTATCTTGTTGGAACATGTCGCAACCTTGCTGAAATATCATTGTGTTCAGCGTCAATGACTTCATCATATCCTCGAGTGACGGACTGGGATCTCTCTCAACTAATGGCACGGAGTATCCACGAAAAGAGTTCTAATGCTCTCTCAATCCATATTCGTCCTCCTTAGGATACACGTCATCTTGCTCATCCTTTTGCCAACCATTAGGTCCTCTTACATCTCCGTATGCACCAAACTCATCAAAGAAACTAGGGCACTTGTAGGTGGAACTCCTTCTGGATGCACAATGAGCACACGGTCGCGCATGAAGACCTCTTGCAATCGCTCCTCAAAGAATCGAACATAATCGCTCATCTCGATTTTCAATTGTAATATGCACGATGGGTATACATGTCGTGATAATAGGCTGTCATTCTCAAAAAATGCTCTGAGCTAGCCAAACACGTCTAAAGACTAGTTATTCTCGCGAGTATTGGGGCGCCCAGTACTCTACAAGAAAAGTTAAATAAACAAGAAAAAATAGAGGTGTAAAAGATGATAAAATAAAATCCTAAAAATTAATTCAATTAGAAATTAAAAATCACAATTCAATTGTGCCACTCCCTAGAAACGGTGCCAAAATTTGACTGCTAGCAATGCTGCAAATTCGAATTTATATGTTTCCTCGACTAACTTCTAATAACTAGTGGTAGTGGCGAGCAAGGATCGATCTCATGAGAAGTGTGAATCAAATCGTGAATTTTTTGTATCAATTGAATAACAAAAACAATAAAAGAAGGGGATGGTTAATAACTAAACCAACTAAGAATGAGATAACAATAACAATAAAATAAAATAAAATCAAAATGAATATATAGGGAAAATCTATTTCACAGTTCTAACTACGTCGACGGTCAATTAGTCTAATTAATTATGACGTCAGGTTTCACTATCTTTTGAAATTACTAGCCCTAGGTAACAACACGCTCTGCTACCCAAATACTCCCTTACAGTATATTTAGCCGAAACACGCTCTCTGGTTAATCATAACTGCTGGACAATCTAAAACGCGATTTCTAGATTTAATACAGTAATAACTTTAGGATCTAGGAAAATAGACTAGTCTGAGTAATATACTCACATGCTCGGTCAACTTAATTAGGTCGCGTTATTCCCGATAAGAATCAAACTCAACAAGAATTATAGATTGAAAATTCAATTCTAGCATTAGACATGAAAAATTCTATTTAGGTGATCAATCTAAATAAAATCAAACATATCATGTTTTGATCAAACAAAAAATAACACAAGCAATTTCATGAAAATAGCACAATAATCAATCACCATAAGTGAAATCTCCATCCGTGTCCGTCGGTTTTCCCGTCGCAATTCTTGAATCTTTTTCTTATCTCTGTTGGCGTTCCTCAAATGGTTGCTCAACTCCAAGGAAAATAAAGTACAGTAACTGCGTGTGATGATCTCTTAATTTTGGTGTGAGTGTTGCGGTAAATTCGATCTTGGTGGTGAGGGCACTGCCCTCACTGCCTCAACGGCTGACACATGTACTTTTATTTACTTAATTTTTATATATTGTTTTTTTTGTTGGAAAGAGAAAATCTGACCAGCTGTGGTGTATTTTTGAAAAAGTAATCAACGATGGTTAAATTCACTCACCACACACCTAACCAAAAATTGTAATTAACAA